GTGGGGGGGGCAGCCTCGGGTCTTGGGGTGCTGTTACAGCTGGGATTGGACTGTGTCTTTGTGTGTGGGCACCTCTAGACTGGTGGGGGGGGCTCTGGATCTGGGGAGGGCTGGTGCTGGGTGTTGTGGTCACCCTGTTCTTCTGGGGCTGGGTGCTTGCTTGAGTAGGCTGGGGCCCAAGTCCTGAGCAGGGCGGTCAAGTCCTGAGGGGGAGCAGGCTGTGGTGGGGGTTGCCAAGGAGGCAGAGACTGTGTGTATGAGAGCAGGGATTGGAGGCTGGTCAGCCTGTTCTGAAGTCTGGACAATTTTCAAGAGTTACGACCTCTTGTAACGGTTCTCAGTGGTTTTTTTTGTTTGCTTGTTTTTTTCCCTGACCTCAGGCTTGGTTTGGCTTTTGCAGCAAGGTGCTGTGTAGGGACACGCTGTGTTCCCAGAGGTAGGGGAAGGGTAGTGGGTCAGTCTGTTTTGCTGCAGTTCTGATTCTACCTGTCTGTTTTGACAGGTGTGTTAAGTCTTGCAAATTTGTCCATTCTGTGCAAACAGTGGCCTCTTGGCTACCCTGGGCTGAGATGAGCAGCTGTCAGAGCAAAGTTGAGCTTCACTGCCTGCTGAGGTGGTCATTGACATGGCTGATCTGCTCCAAAGTCAGCTTTGGGGTGTCTGCACCAGCAGCATGTTGTAAAAATGCATGAATGATTCGTGCAAGTCACCTAAGATTCAGGGGGGTTATCAGCTTGGATAATTTGCCTCTTTTAAAGTTTGTCGATACATGTGAAATTTGCATTTTGTGTTCCACAGTGTTCTTATCTCTACCCAGCTTTTGTGGGATAAATATGTGGCTTGGTTCGCTTGTGGTAGAAATAAAATGGTTTTATTGTGCGAAGACGGTTCTTAATCTATAGTGTCTGAACATAATTGTCTTTTAGGAAGATCCGTCCCTGGAGAAACACTTCAAAGGCCACAGAGATGCTGTCACTAGCGTGGACTTCAGTCTCAATAAGAAACAATTGGGTAAATTGTCTCTCTGTTTTGATGGCCAGATGATAAAGAAAGAGCTTCTCTGCTTTAGTTAAATGGAGGGAGCAGCAGAGGTACTGAGCTCTACAAGAGCAAAGAACTTGTTTTTCATGATGAAGAGATTTTGGAGAATTTCATTTCTATGTGCTTTGAAAAAAATCCTGTTGTTGAACTATAGGGGTGGCAGATTGTGTCCATCCTGCTAGAGCTTTAGCGACTTCTACCGTAATTATCACTTCACATACCTGGCTTTACCATGCAGTCAACTTAAGGTAAAAACCTTACTTTTTCTTCTCCATCTTCCATTTCTCCCCTTTAGACAGCTGCCTGTGGTTATGCCAAGGCTTGTGTCCTAGCTGCTATTCAGTAACCCACTGTGCGTACATTGAGTAGGAACCAGGAGGGTTTTTGGCTCTTAGTCAAGTCGCCATTCAGTCTGTGTGGCATGGTGAACATTGCTTTGGCTCGCAGAGAAGATAAGGCAGAAGTGATAGTTTGAGGCAATATACGTGGCAGGCAGTGGGCGCAGTAAGCATGAATAAATAGAAATAGAAATGCAGCAGTCTAGGAGGTAGGAATCCTGTTCTGGATCTTGCAACCTATGCGACACTCTGGAAGCTGCAAGGAAATGAAAATGAATCAAACTTGTCTTGGACCCCCCTCTCTCCCTGCTGCTGTTTTTATTGTTGTCTGCTATCTTTTCCTTTCCATTTCCTGTGTCTTCAATTGCAGAGCAAGAGTTCACTCTGCTCTGCATCCGTGATTCCGTTTGTGTATCCCTAAAACTTTACCCAGTCATTGCAAATCTCTGTTTAGCAAGGGTGCTCTGAATGTAATTTAGCATTGCTTTTGAATGGCCTTTCAGAAGTAGTATGGGGACCTTTCCCTCCATCTAGACCGTGAAAGGGTTGCTCTTGATATTTTTAGTAAGTGAGGTCAGGTAAGAAAGGGAACAAATTCTAAGAATTTTTTTCCAGTTCTGTTGGGTGAGTCATGTGTACTTGCCTCTTATAAGACTAAAGTTTTTTTCCCCATTTCCATCCCAAAAAAAACCCCAACCAAACCTAGAAGACTTGGTCTTTTTATTCCATTAGATTGCTTGCCCAATCCAGTAATGATTATAGTTATTGCCAACAAGTTGCATATAAGCAGTATCATACTGAAGTGCTTTATTGAGATGTCAGAGCATTGTTTTCCTGAAATTTTTTAACATCAGTCCTGGGGAAGCTGTGATACTGCAACTTAATATCTTTACCAGACAACAACTTAGTGTAGTTATGACTAATATTCAAATCTCTTGACACTAGGCCGTGTGCTCAATCTACTTTTACAGTTGTCTCCCCTTAAATTTTTATATCACTAAGGAAGGATGTTGCCTATATGAAATATAAAACCAAACAAAACCAACAATTGAACTGACAAATATCTAAGTTTTCTTGTTTCCCCTTAGGGGACATGCATAATGAATGATCCCGTTTGAAACGGGCATATATTAATCCCGAATCAATAGCAGGAAAAGAGGTGATTATTTTTGTGTTGAAATCACTGTGAAATAGAAGGACGTTTTCAGCAAAATCTATTTGGTATTTTGCCATAACGCTAATGAACTGAAATATTCTTGTATTTGTGATACTGCTATATTGGAACCTACCATCAAACTGATCTTTTTTTCTAGGAACATCTTAAGATCTCCCTGGAGATATGCCCCACTTGGCATTCAGGAAGAGAGATACAGATGCAGCTTGGGTTTGTTGGCGGGCTAAGATGTGTATATTCTGTATTTGCCTGTGGAAAATCTACAAAGTTTTCTGTTATTTAGGCATTAAAATTGATTTGAAGGGGTATTTTTACTGTCATTGTTTGAGACTAAGTTGCATATGTTTGCTCTTTTACAAATCGCTAGGGTCCCAGTGCTGCAGGCTTCACACAACACATCGGGCTTTAAGGGACGAGCAGCTTTTCAGTTCTCACTGTGCAGAGCTGGTGATGGGACCCGAGCAGGGGAGTTTGAGAGTGAAGTGGAATTTACTCTTGTGGTTGGGAAACCTGTTGCCTGGTATTCCTGGCAGGGACTGGATATTGTTCCTGTCAGATAGGGAGGGGGATGTTGCTTGTATGGAGTTCAGTGTCATGCAGATGTCTGGAAGCTCTCATTTGAGATGTGCTGCTGTCAAGTTGGAGCTGGCCACTGCCTACAGCAAGCAGTGTGTCCTGCTGGGGATGCCAGGCAAAGAAGGGAGCCTTTGAAGATGGCATCGGTTGTGCTCGCAATGGATGTAGCGTGCATACCTGAATTCTGCCTCCTTCTTGTGTGACCCTTTGCTCTTGCTGCTGAGGGAGATCTTGAAAAAGCAGCATCTGTCCTGGGGGACAGCTGCCTTCCTGTAAGTAGAGTCTTTGCCCTCGGGGGTCTCCCTCTAGCCCTTTCTCTTCTTGTCTTTGGAGAGTGCCTTTGCCCTCTTCCATTCCTTTCTCGGAAGCCCAAGAGTAAAGGCCAGTTGTGGTGGTTGTTGGTTGGATTTTCTTTCCACAGGTGAGTGTAGGCATGAGAATGGAAGAGTGGGTGTGAGTAGATGGAGGGACCTCATCTCCATCCGTAGTTCCGTAAAGCCTCTCATGACTACCACCAAGTCCTGCTGACCCCTCCTGCTGATAGCAAACTGAACACTGCTCTAATCTCTTTGCAAGCTTGGATTTTTCATAAATCGTTAAGAACTGCTGAGCTGGCTTTGATCAATGTTTTGCAACAATGAGAGGGATGTTGGAGGGGGATGTAGCTGGGTTGCCATTAAGTCACCAGCTGTTACAGGGCTTCTCTGCTTAATCTGTAGTGTGTTCTTGGTATTTAATCTGCTGCAGCTGATAGCTGCATCTGCTTCCCAGTAAAAAAGTGATGAGATAACCTTCATCCACAGACCTTCTGTGTGTTTCCTTAGTGTGTATGTATTTGGAAGAAGTTTTGCAACTTATGTGGCTTTTGCCTCTGCAGCTGTTGCATGAACTGACTCTTGGAAGTAGAATTGTCAGTCCAAGCCAATGCATGACTTTGTTTTGTTTGAATTACTAATGAAATATACAGTATGCAGTACACTGGTGAAGTGTAAAGGACAATGTGCTTGAGATTGCTGGAAGCTGTGATGGTGAACTGAGTGTGAAAGGTAGTTTCAGTGTAATTGGAGGAGAACTAATGCAAGTTTGGTTTTGTTTTGTCTTTTTATTTCAGCAAGTGGCTCGATGGATTCGTGCCTGATGATCTGGAGTATGAGACCTCAGATGAGAGCCTATCGCTTTGTGGGCCACAAAGATGCAGTGATGTGTGTTCAGTTTTCACCTTCTGGTCACCTGGTGGCTTCAGGCTCTAGAGACAAAACAGTCCGTTTATGGATTCCTAGTGTGTAAGTATCTATTCCCTTCTGTCTCTCCTTGTGTTTTAACTATGGATTGGAATCTTCCCCTTGCGTTTTGATAGCAGTTCTCCAGCTATGGGACTGGGATCTCTGAAGGAAAGAAGAACCATTTTATGTGGCAGCTCTGACAGAGGAGAGGTAATTTGGTCTTGAAATTGCATTGGAAACAAAACTAAAATCCTTTGCAAAGCTTAAAGTCAGTATTAACTTCCTATGCTAATGTAACGAGTCACTAATGTAACTTATCAGTGATGAATTACTGGATTTTTCTTCCCCTTCCTCCCCCAGTCTGTCTTTCCTCCTAGCAAATTGATCCTTTGCTTCTCTGCCAGTGTTAAGCAAGATGCTGAAACGCAAGTTGGGGTTTAGTGATGGAGATGCCTCTTCTGTGAGCAGGGTGGAGGTTACTAGCTTGCATGCTTGCTGAGGTACACAAAATGGTTAGGTACCTTTAATCTTTATTTCTTGGTCTCAAATTAGTAACTCTGTGTTCCACTGATAGTAAATGATGGCATATTATTAAGGTGAAAGACTACTTTGGATTGTGTATTGACTTTTTTGTGAGCTTGCGTATGATTAACAAGAATTTACTTACCCTTTCAGTACCTTAGCGGTCTTTAATGTGTATTTATTAAGTTTCCATTTCTGAGTAGAAGGTTTAGTTGCCTTAAGTCATTAATGCCTGTCAAGTCCTTGACAATCATTGGCTGAGAGGCCTCAGAGCTTCTATGGTTTTACTCTGCGATGTGTTGTTTTAAGTGATACGTCTTCAACAAGGAACACTTAGTTGAAATACAACACAAACGGGAGAGCTGCAGAAATTCTGCTTGAAAACTTGCTGCAAGTAATGAGAAGCTTTTTGCAGCCGAGATGCAGAAAAGCAGCTGTCAGTGTGTCCTCTGGTCTCTTGGTTCCCACACTAAACAGTGGGATTGCTTTTTTTCTGAATAGGCAGGCATATATAAAGGTATCTGAGGTTCCTTTGCTTGTGAGGTTGTAAATTGCTTTTATCAAAGACTAAAGGATTTAGTCCAGCAGCAGAGCTGATGATTGTGGTGGCAAATAAAAGGTATTTAAAAAAACAACAACAAAAAAAACTCCAAACAAAACCACACAAAAAACCATACCCCAACTTTAAGATGAACATGTCACTTCAGGAACCTGGGAAAGCATTTCTAGTTGTTTATTTTCAAGTTTTTCTGGTTATGATTACCCACTGGAAGCTTTATTTGATGATCTATTAAACCATAAGTATCCTCTGCCACGGAACTGATGGGTTCTGAAAGTGACTTTTTAAAATATGTGATAAAAGTGACTATTAAATGTCTATGATGATGTTTGCTAGAGTAACACCCTGGTCAAACTTAAAGTAGATTGATGTGCCCGTTTTCCCCTACCCATTAATCATCACGATGCTTACCTGAAACTATCAGAATGCCTGAACTCCTGTAAATGTAAATTCCTAGCACTCAGAATGAGTTATGCATCTGGGGCAGATATGCTATTATTCACCTGTGACAAAAGTACAGGTCCTGCTTTTTGGGCAAAAACTTATCCTTTAGCTACAGAACTGTTTCAGTGCTTTCATAATGGTGGAGTGACTAAACAGTAAATATGGTAGAAATTGCATAAAGTTAAAAATTTATAATGAAATAAAACTAAAATATGCAGCTTGTAACTTCAATTATAATTCATTTCAGTTTAGTTAAACTTTCCTGGAAGAAACGATCACAATGACATGTCAGCATATATATTATTAAAAGGCGCAAGGTGAATTATGATTAAAATTTAACCTCGTGGCTCCTCAATCTCCTGTGAAGAGACTAACACTGTCATTTTGCTATCTCCAGACCTGTGCTGCTAACACAGCATGTTGAAAATAAATTACAGTGTAAACTTGTTAGATTTCTCAGAAGCTGAAGTATAAGTTTTAAGAAAGGACCGGGATATGATGGGAAATGGAACTTTGATGTTTTGGGTTAGGCATGTGAGCTCTATGATCTAAACTGCACCTATGGTTGTCATGTCAGAAAAGGGCCAGTGTGGAAAGGGAATTGTTACTGTTATGCTGGTTGTGAATGCCTTGGTGCATGGCACCTTTAATCTGTGTTTATTGAGTATTCTTTGTCAATTCACCTTCTCTCGAGAGAACAAAAAAGAAGAGTACTGAGGCTGAATCAGGTTTGAGACCTTCAGCTTGCCAGTTTTGCACTGTCGGTAAAAGGGAAGGGAGAAACTGCCCCATAGTCTGTTTGTGGGCCAGGACTTTATTTCCAAAGGATCTGAAAACTTGCAGTCCCTTTCAAGGGTGATGTGTTACTGAAGGAGTTAATGCTACACTAGCGTGTGTTTTGTCTTTGGGATTTGTTTTTTATAAGCCATGCTGACAGAATTTTGTAATTTCATGTTTCTGCATGAGTTTTTATCAGACTTGGGGATGTTCTGTCGTTTTGAACAGAAAGAAAACTTTCCTGAGAAGTAACCTTTACTGTTCCCTGCCTTCTGGCAGCTAAAGGATTAAATAAAACTAGGCAGCTCTGACCTTTTCTGAGGAGGGAGGGAATATTGCTGGAAGATACATAGTATTTTGATTTTTTGGCCTTTACAGTTTTAGTAGTCCTTAGCCTCAGTATAAAATCTGTTAAATCCTAACGGAGAAGGGAGCAAACCACCATGTCTTTCTGTTGTTCTCTTCTGTCTGTGAATATGGAGCTCCTGGTAGTACAGTACATGCTGGAAATGTATTTTGGACCACGAGTCCCATATACCTGTTGGATCTTTAACTATGTTGTGCTTTGGATCTCTAAATATGTCTTGCATTTACGTGCCAGAAGAATGCCTCTTGCATTTATCTGGAAATGATGGGTAAAGAATAATAACAATACCTTGTTTTTTGTCTTGTCTGGCTGAGTTAATGGTAGCTTGCTCAAAGCTGTACAACATCAGGCATGCTGAATTCAGTTGTGTTATTCCTTGTGTGATGCTGCATCGGAAGTGTTCAGCTGGAGCATGGGCCATTACAGGAATAGCTGTGAGGTAGTTGCCTGCTTGGCTTTGTCTAGATGAATGGTGAAAACATTTACCTCCCTCCTCACCTGCCTTGCAGCAAAGGACCTGGAAACATTACAGAAACTCAGCATCTTCTTTTATATTGATGTTTCCATAAATGTTGTTTTAAATGGTTGCACAAATTAACAATAGTCTTTTTGCCCCTTTATAGGAAACATGGATTGTTTCCTGTTGGATTGGGCTCCAATATTGAACTGGAACAACTGGTTTTAGCTGTGTATTCTGTGTAGCTCATGAAGCATGAGTTTGTTTGGGGTTGATCAACATTTTCTTCCTAATGTAAGCACGTGCAGTTCCCATAGAAATGGTGATTAATAGCACTGCTCACCACGCAGAAGCTTTGTGTTTTCAGGTACATAATGTCTCTGCTGTCCTGTTGTGCAGTTTTAAAGTGTTCTTTCCTTCTGTATAGCAAAGGAGAATCTACTGTCTTCAAGGCTCATACGGCAACTGTAAGAAGTGTTCATTTCTCCAGTGATGGCCAGTCCTTAGTTACAGCTTCTGATGACAAAACGGTCAAAGTGTGGACGGTTCACAGGCAGAAGTTCCTGTTCTCACTTAGTCAACACATAAACTGGGTTCGCTGTGCCAGGTAAGTACAGCTTTCTGATGAATAGAGGTAGGGATTTATTCCTCAAAGCAGAGACTGAGCATCATGGTTTTGTGCAGCACACTTCTATTCAGGATGATTCAGGTGTGTCTAGTGACTGAAATATATTGCTGACCTGCGGAGAGATCCTTTGGATAATAGTTGTGTACTCACTTTGTGCTGCTTTGGTGATCTTTGTCAAGCAGAGACTTTCCTGCTTAGTGATTTGCTTTTACCTGGTATGGAGACTTTTGCATCTTGAAATTGCTAAGAGAAGCAAAATGAGAGATTTATATTATAATTGTTATTTCAGCTTAGTTACTTTTAGACTTGTGATGCCTCTAAAAATGATCACCTGAGCTCCTTCCAAATTGCTGAAAGTGCTGCCATCATAAAAACATTACTTCCTGATAACTGTCTCAGATTTTGTTTTCCGTTTTCCATCTTGGTGGTTCTGAGGCGTTTTTATGTACATATGTATTTAGGATAAAGCCACAGTTTCTCTGTAGGTGAAAAGTTCATTATAGTTCTTGAACATGGTGGTGGCAGTGACTGGTAGTACTATAGATGCCCACAGTACAGCAGAAAGAATGTTTTTCCAGTATGTATGATGATGTTCTCTAGTTAGGGACTCAAGTCCTGATTGTGTAAAATTATGCCTCCGAAGAGATGTATTGATCTGTCTAGTATATGAAATTTTGCAGTAAGAGCTTAATACATTCTTCTAAGGCACTAGAATGATGAAGCTTCTCTTGCTGCAGCCATTATCTTGGGAGTAATTACATTGCTCTGAATGTTTGTGGCAAAGGTAGGAATTGTTTTGAATCAGGGTAGAGAAACAACTTGAGATACACTTAAATGGAAACAAGTAGGACAGGAGATCTTAAGTCAGACTGAAGACTTTCCTGAGGGTTATTTTATGTGCTTGTGGAATTAGGGGTAGTTTGAGGACTTTCCCTTCAACTTACAGTGATTAGATTTTTAGTCTCACTGATGCCGGTGTGACTTGAGTGAGGTGTGTTTACCAACATACCTTGACAGCTGGGCAAATCCAGTTGACCCTGTACACCTTTTGTTTGTGGGCACTTCTTAATTGCTATAACTCTTGTCTTAGATTCTCTCCTGATGGACGATTAATAGTGTCAGCCAGTGATGATAAAACTGTCAAACTGTGGGATAAAACCAGCAGAGAATGTATACACTCCTTCTGTGAGCATGGGGGGTAAGTACCTGGCGGTGCATGAGGACCGACGTCTTGTGATTGCTGAAATGGTGATGCCTGGTGAATGTACACCTTGTTTTGTGACTGCAGTCAGAGGTCCTTGTCCTGGCAATCATTTCTACCTCTTAAAAAAAAAAAAAATCATTAGCACCTGTTACAAAAGCAGCCAGCAGAGGGTGAGATGCAAAAAAGCTTCCAAAATTGCTTTGACCTTTTTATGACTTGCCTCAAGGTTCCAATCTGGACTTATATTTTGATAACTGTCCAACGCGTCAAGCCTTAGTTTCTTTACGCTTGCTTATTTTTAGAGATGCTTAACAAAGCTAGCAGAAAAAGAATTTAAGGTTTTATATTTTGCTCTGAGTTGAAGTAAATTAAAACATCAAAAGTGTACTGACATATTGGTACTTGGATGCTTTGTTGCATTCCCAAGTTTTTGAATACCAAAGTTGTTAAAAAAAAAAAAAACCACAACACTTTGTATTCAGAAAACCAGCTGTTAAATTGGGATTTTTTTCATGGAGAATATTGAACCACAGCAAAAGTTCATTTGTCCAGAAACACAAAACAAATCCATAGAGAACAGACTGGAATCTTCCTAGTTTCTTGTTGCATTGAATTTTCAAGTACAAAGTTTTGTTCTTTCCAGGTAATATACAACGATATTAAGACAAATTCAGACAGCATTATTTTTTCCAGTGCTTTTAAGAATATAACTTGTCCAAACAACCAATTGAAATATCTCAGCGTTCTCAGCATTTGTTACAAGAATACTCAGAGTAATTAATTTTATCCAATTTCTTGCATGGATTGAGTGAGGAGTTACAAGATGCTCTTCACTGAAGGTTCTGAAGGTTTTACTGTACTTGCGTGTTCAAAATAAGAATTGATTACATACAAGTCCAGAAAGCAATTTGGTCTCAGCCTCTCTACCTTCTAAATGGCAACATATGATTTCAGGCACAAATTCAGTAAGTTCCATCTTAAAATTAGTTAAGAGTAATAGAAGAAAAAATAGCTATTCAGTCTTGTACACACCACTCTAGAAATCCTGTTAATTTAATAGCAGATGTATAAGCAAACACTTGAAAATGTTGTTGTGACAGTCAGATCCATCAGACTTCAGGAGGCTTGTATCTACAGCTCCTACACCTGTAATGCAAAATGTTGAAGATGGTATGCTTGATACAATCCTGCAGTCTACTTGGGGTTATAAGTGAGAAATTTAGCAATATGAATTCTCAGGTTACTTCCTCCTTTGTGTAATGTTCAATTCATCATGATGTAGCTTCCCTTCTTGAAAAGACCTTTTTGATCTTTAGCAAGAGTTGAATGTAAACAGTTGGATTTAACTGCAATTTACAGGTTTGTGAATCATGTGGATTTTCATCCCAGTGGTACATGCATTGCTGCGGCTGGTACAGATAACACAGTGAAAGTATGGGACGTTAGGATGAATAGACTTCTTCAACATTATCAAGGCAAGTTAAGATCTTAGAAAAATCAGACCTTTCCACATTTTGATATGAATTGCTCTGAAGTCCAAGGACTGTTTCTCCATCACCTGCTGCTTTTCCAGAAAGGCACTGGCTTAGGCCTACCAGTGGAAGCCTTTTTTCACCAAACACCATGCCTGGCTTTCTGTTAGCTCCAAGACTGATTCTCACATATTGGTGAGAAACACCTCTGTTCTGATTTCTTTCTCTGTCCACCATCAAAAAAGGTGAAAAAGCCCCAATGCTGACACTGTCTCGTGTTGCAGGTATTATCTGTGATGCCGCTTGGCTCATATTTGCTGTTCTTGAGTAAATGATGTGCACTAAAAAAGATGTGGCCTTTGCCTCCAAATAAGCCCATAGGAGGAGTCAGATGCATTCCAGCAAAGCAAAAGGTTAAGTTTTTTGTAAGAAAACTAGAAGTTAACAAAAGAGGAAAATCAAAATCAACCAATTGCAGTTCTGTACCATGATCCATGCTTACAGTTCTTTCTCCAGTGTCTCCTTTGGTTTTCAGCTTCCAGAATGGGCTTTGACCTTGTTATGACTTGTCCAGGTTGGCTTGTCCTTGGAGTAGCTAGCTTTTATATTTAGTAGTCTACACTTTTCTTTTTCTTTTTTTTTTAACCTTTACCTTCAAAATGGCATCTCCTCCCATTACCTGTTCTTGTCAAACTGATTAGTGCTGCCATTTGGTAGAACTGGATAGAAAAGGGTCCCTTCCCATCCCTGCAAGCTTCTTTGAGCTTGATTGTACTGTTTTGTGCATGTTAGTTGCTTGAGCCTAAACATGGCTTTTACTTCCTTTACTATTTACGATTTTTAGGGCTGCCGTAGTATATTCGCATATATACTCAAGCACTGTTTCCAGTACAGATAGCTTATTAAACTTAATCTTGTTAGCTTTTCTTGAAGGCTGCTTCTGGCATGCTAGTAAAGCAGATCAGAGATATGGGGCTGGAGCTTGGTGTATTGTTCTTTCTGCAATCCACATCAGATACTGTCAGTTCCTGCTGCGACAGCCTCACAGCTGAATGCCAGGCAGAAAAGACAGAGTAGTAAAATAGTAGTTGATTCCTGCT